CCAGCACAGTAAAGGAAATAAGATGGACTACAGTCGAGGATGACGGTCGCCTATCTTTTTCATATAAAGTTCCTAGTCGAAGAGAACACAAAGAAAAAAATAAATAAATAAAAAATAATAAATAAATAAATAAATAACAATAAAAAAAAATATATATATACATTATCTAATGATTCCTAAACCGGAGAGGAACCTTTTACTTCATAGTTTGGGAAACCAAAATGTGCGCATTTTGTGGATGGGCGGGGTTGCTGCATGTGTGTGTTTGTGCATGCGTGTGTGTTTTTGTGTGTGTGTGTGTGTATGTGTGTGGATATATATGTAAATACGTGCATATACATGTAGAGGCACACGCACACACAGAGAAAGAGAGAGAGAGAGAAAGAGAGAGCTGTCTGGATAAATAGAAATAAGCATTTAGGGGACTTTTTATATATAATATAATATAATATAATATATATATATATATATATATATATATATATATATATATATATATTCATATATATATATATATATATATATATATATATATATATATATATATATATACATATATATACATATATCTATCCACACACACACACACACACACACACACACACACACACACACACACACACATATATATATATATATGTGTGTGTGTGTGTGTGTGTGTGTGTGTGTGTGTATGTTTATATATACATGAATTTACTTCTGTGAGTGAATGCATATATAGATAAGTAGATATGTATTTACAGATGTATGTATGTTTATGTATATGTATATATATATATATATATATATATATATATATATATATATATATATATATACATGTATACAAGTATGTATGTATATATATATATATATATATATATATATATATATATATATATATATGTATGTATATACATATATATATATATATGTATGTATGTATCTCAGAGGGTGGCATAGCTCAGTGGTAGAGCGCTGGCTTTGCAATCGCAAGGTCCTGGGTTCGCGCCCGGCCGCCGCCCCTCTCAGTCGACTCAGCTGTGAATGAGTACTGATATGCTGACGTCAGCATGTTGGGGTCAAGGTCGGGGCGGAAAGGAACTGGCCACCCTACCGCATCATCCCGCGGCTTAGTATGTTTCTCTGCAAACATGTCCCCTACGTTCACAAGGACATGAGACCAATTTGACTTTTTGTATGTATGTATGCATGTGTATATATATATATGTGTGTGTGTGTGTGTGTGTGTGTGTGTGTGTGTGTGTGTGTGTGTGTGTGTGTGTGTGTGTGTGTGTGTGTGTGTGTGTGTGTGTGTACAATCACGCACACACACACAGCATACCACTTAGCCAGATATATATTATACCTTGTGGTGGCTGCTGCAATATATACAAAGGTGAAACGGAAAGAAAACTCTACGGACAACGCATCGACCAGCACCGCAGCGCTCTCCGACATCACGAGGAGCTCTATTGTTAATCACATTAGTCTCGGACTCATGTGCAGTCCGCTGTATTTGAGTGTGTGTTTGTTTAGGGGAAGCTATTGATAACCATAACTTGCTCGGTCTTATTTAATAAACATAAATTCCACTATAGATCATGACTGTTGGTGAAACTGAGGTCGCTAGAAGGAATTTCAACGAGACAGTACGAAATGGTCAGTTTGCTTAAGGCAGTGACAAGAACAGTAGAAATGGTGATTGTAGTGATAATAAGAATATCAGTGATAATAATGATGATAACAATAATGCTACTGAATAACAATAATGATAATGATAATGAATAACAATAAAGATAACTGCAATTGTTCTTGTTATTATTACAATCATGATAACTATGACTACTGTTACTATTTTCATCATAATAACACTGATGATAACAATGGTGGTGACAATTCTATCAACAATGGGATAGTAGATAGTGATAAATGATAAGGATAAGGATAAATGCCAACGTATAGTTATATAAATGCACACATACATTCACACATATGTGTGTCCATTTTCGCATTATAGTTAAAAAGATTTGCTCTAAAGACACAGATCATCATTTCTCTGAAAACAAATAAGAGCTATAACATTAAACAAATTCACCGGAACGTTGTTTTTTCTTCTTATACGTATGTGTCGTAATACTAAACAAAAATAAAAAACAATAAGTTAATCCCAAATTTCGTTTTCTATCATTACTTCTATGGCATTTAAGAAAAACGAGAAATTATGGGCAACTATTTTGTTATGGTCTATATATATTTTTTCTTTTCTTTTCTTTTTTATCTTTCCTCTTATTATTATTATCATTATCATCATTATTATTATCCCTATTATTATCACTATTATTGTCATTATTATTACTGTTGTTATTATCATTATTATTACTATTAATATTATTATTGTTGTTGTTGTTATTACCATTATTATTATTATTATTATCATTATCATTATTATCATTATTATTATTATTATTATTATTATTATTATCATTATTACCATTGTTATTATTATCATTACTATTATCATTATTATTATTACTTTTATTACAATGATAATTATTAATATTATCATTATTATTATTATCATTACCTTGTCATCTTCACCAATCTTAGCATTAACAACTGTTTAGGAAAAACAGTTTCATTAACGACAATTCCCACCTACATTTTTAAAGTAACAGCAATCATAGAAATAAAACTATCTGTAGGAAAATAGTTTTTTTTTCCCGGTTATTAAAGTATTACTATTTATACGGGCACTGGTAGCAGTGTCAGCAATAACAACTATATAGTATTAACATGGGCATCAACAGCAGCTGAATCAAAGTAGTAGTTGTAGCAGCACTGGTAGTAGTAGTAGTAGTAGTTGATGTTGTTGCTGTTGTTTTTGTTGTTGTTGTTGTAAAATCTCACTGAAAGAAACATTTAAACATACATGCAGCGAACACCATTAACGGAGTTAAATTCAGACATAGGGCCATGCAGAAATAAAAATAAAGTTTGTACGGTGAATACATGTTGGTTAATACTGTTTTCTTAGAGGAAGTTGCAAAAATGTGGAGTATTTGAGAAATGAGAAAAATGAAATCTTTCGTAATACATGAGAGAGATTAGAATGTGGTTTATTTCTTATATTCTATTTACGTTCGTTTGTTTTCTTTTATGCCATTTGAATCTGCTCTTTCTGTTTTCATTTTTTTTTTTTGAGGGGGCGGGGTAAAAAATATTAATTAACTAAAAGCTCCCCACTTTTTGTATATTATTGTGGAATGTACTCCTCATGGATTTGTGATGTAAGCAATAACTGCTATTTGCACATCGAATTGTGTGCATGTGTGTGTGTATGAGTGGATATGTGTGTGTGAACACACACACACACACACATGCATACATTTATATATATATATATATATATATATATATATATATATATATATATATATATATATATATATATACATAGCAAATATATAGCATATATATATATATATATATATATATATATATATATATATATATATATATATATATATATATATATATATATAGCATATATATACATATATATACATAGCATATATATATATATATCATTTATATATGCATATATGTATATATATATATATATATATATATATATATATATATATATATATATATGTATGTGTGTGTGTGTGTATGGGCATGCATACATGTGTGTGTGTACACACACACACACATACACACATTATATATATATATATATATATATATATATATATATATATATATATATATATATATATATATATATATATATAAGACATATATATATGTGTGTGTGCATATATATGTATATATATATATATATATATATATATATATATATATATATATATATATATATATATATATACATATGACTTGCGGGTTTGAGACAAATTACGTTACGACAATCATTTCCACAACCAAAGACATTGCAAATGACAATGAATGAACGGGATCCAGTAATAGTAAAGCAGTGTTGATCAATGATTCCTCCACGCAACTTTTCTAAGCTAGCAATTCCCTCATTCCTCGTGACTCCCTCATTATCTTTGCAGATTTTTCAAGGATCAGTGAGAAGATATGAGCTATGGAAGATCTACGTTTTAGAAAGAAAAACTGATAGTCATAACCGTATTAGCAGTGCCATATAGCTTATTATTTTACAATATTTTGAAGCATATGAAGAAAAGAAAATCAGGTAATTATGGTACCCAAAACAGTTTAGTAACACCATATAAGTTGTAATTACTGATTATATAAAACTACGTTCTCTGACCTATATAACGCTTTCCTCTTATAAGTCGTTGGGGGTAAGTTTCAGAGCGGGAGCATTGGTCCCCAGCTTTACAGAGTTCCTACTTACAACCTTACTTTCTGTTCCTCTAAACCAACGATATAGGGAGACTGTATATATTTATCTGTCTTTCTGTCTGCTTATGTCTATCTATTTATCTTCCTGCGTTTGTGTTTGTATATCCATAATATAATCATCTATATATGTGAAAATTCGAATTTATACACACATACACACACACACACACACACACACACACATCTATATATATGTGTGTGTGTTAATATATTTGAATATATGTATATATATATATATATCTATACATATATATATATATATATATATATATATATATATACATATATATATATATCATCAATATATATATATATATATATATATATATATATATATATATGTGTGTGTGTGTGTGTGTGTGTGTGTGTGTGTGTGTGTGTGTGTGTGTGTGTGTGTGTGTGCATGCATAACTAAACACACACACTCATGAATATTCCTCCATAAAATTTTAGTAAGTATCCAAATGAAAAATTGAGTATGTTTATATATTTCAATTATTTGTTGCAGCTCCATTAGTAGCTAAAAAAAACACACAAATAAACATATGTAGCGCACAGTATACGACTGACTTGATTCGTCATTTAAAAGAGATAAATATTAACATCCCTATTCTATTTTTTTTTTCTTATTTTGGTACTTGGATGTCCTCTACGAAACGTTTTCCGCCACTAAAAACATGCAAGGCTCCGAGCAGGGTCTGAATGGTGCCCCTAAGTGGTGGGACAGCGTTATCGAAGTGCCAGAAAGTGGGGGGGGGAGAAGTTGAAGTTGGGAAATGCACAGAAGTTTTGGCTGATCATGAGTCGAGTGATGGCACAGGAAAGGGAAGTTCGGACACTGGAGATAAAGATGGCCGGTGAGTGACAGGTGTTACGTTCGGGGCAGGTTTGAAAGGAGCAGAGGGAAAGACATAACCAGGTGATGGTGGCGAGATGGGTGAAATTTCCACCGCCCGTAGAGGGATTAATTGTCTCATGCACTGGAAGTTCGGTTTGCAAACGTTTTCCGCCGCTCGAAACATGCAACGACCCGGGCAGGGTCTGGATGGTGCATCGATACTTACTCGTCCTATAGCAGGGGTGGTAGTGGGCGTGGCCTGGGTAGGCGTGAGAGGGGGGGAGGTGGGTGTTGAAGGAGGAGTAGGAGGTATAGCAGGGGGGGAGATAATCTCGACCGGGGGGAACGTAGGAGGAAAGGTGGGCGTGGGAGTCGTAGGGGTAAACGAGGCAGGGGGAGCTCTATCTAAGGACACTGGAGTTAAGCGCTGAATAGAGAACCTTATACCTTGCTCTCTGGTGTCTATGTCTGTGGGGTAAGGTAAGGAAATGGGGGAAGGAGAGAACGTTATCGAAGTGCCAGAAAGTGGGGGGGCAGGTTTGAAAGGAGCAGAGGGAAAGACATAACCAGGTGATGGTGGCGAGATGGGTGAAAATTCCACCGCCCGTAGAGGGACTAATTGTCTCATGCACTGGAAGTTCGGTTTGCAAACGTTTTCCGCCACTCGAAACATGCAACGACCCGGGCAGGGTCTGGGTGGTGCATCGATACTTACTCGCCCTTCGAGCGTGGTAGGGGGGGAGGTTATAGCAAGGGTGGTAGTGGGCATGGCCTGGGTAGGCGTGAGAGGGGGGTAGGTGGGTGTTGCAGGAGGAGGAGGAGGAGGAGGGGGTGTGGCAGGGGGGGAGATAATCTCGTCCGTGGGGAACTCCGCCCGCAGAGGAGATATCAAGCTTCCAGTACACTGGAAGTCCTCTGCGCAAACGTTTTCCGCCAACAGAAACGAGCAATTATCCAAGCAGGGTCTCAATGGTGCCCTGATAATTTCTGGGCCTCTGGGGGCAGGTGTAAAAGGAGCAGAGGGGAAGACATGATCAGGTGATGGTGGCGAGATGGGTGAAAAGGGAGAAGGTGAGATGCTGGGCGCAGCTGGAAATGCTGGCACCTTGGGAAAAGCCGCTTGAGGCGAGAAATGTCTAAAGGCAGTCGGGGATTTGAAGTCATGAGAAGTCGGGACATCTGGACGCATCGGGTAATGAGAGAAAGACGAAGGAGCACCCGAGTTCCAGTAAGACTGAGACCAGAATGTCCGTAGACCCACGGAACTTAGATCCTCGACGCTCTCAACCTCTCCGGAGTCTAAGTAATGGTCGGGGCTTCTTTTCTCGTGAGGCTTCCGACCGCCCGATTCCAAAGTGATCTGTGCTTCGTGGTGAGAGGGAAACGTGACCTGGTCTCGTGGAACAACGTGCTGGGGAAAGTGGAGGTCGTGAAGGCCAAGGGCCAAGCGAGGTGAAACCAGGTCAGAGCCAGTGGCAGCGGTAGGAGCGACGGCCTCATGTACACTGACAGCGACACTGTCAATACCAGAAGAAATTGTGCTATTTCGCTCAGGTACCGTCTTACTGGGCAAAGAACCGGGATGAGGATCAGATGCGTCATGTAGAGAAAGGCGTGGCTCATCCTGGTGCAGCAGAGGGAAGGCAGGAGGAAGAGAAACAGACTGCGATGATGCAACAGCATCACGCTTCTCACGATGGCCTAGCGGAGACCCGGTTAATGGCCTTCTCAGTTCTGAAATTCATAGATAAAAACATAGATGTTAAACAACTTGTCTTATCAGTGAGATCATAAACTACATTACTGAAGAAGAGTTTACGCATACAGGCCTAATAAAAATCTAATAGGAAAACCTGCGTTCAGGATAAAAGACCTTCAATTACCGTTTGCTATTATGTCATCACTCCTATTGTAAAATAATCAGTCCACATACATTGTACACAAGCGTTGCCAATAACTTAGCGGTCCACTTAGTGTTAAAAATAGTTGACAACACCATACAATGCTTTTCTTTCAAGGAACCAAACAGTCATATCTGACACACCCGTAACACTATAACATGTCATCTCACCTGATCTTTCAAACACGCTCTTCGCTCTGTGCTTGTTCACCGTGATACTGTCCTGGTCTTGCTGCTCTTTCGTTTTGTTATCAATCAAGCAGTTGTCAGGGAAGACACACTTCTTACTAACTGTTTTTTCTCTGTTCTTGATTAGGTTGAAAACGGTCATTCTACGCGGGCTGTCTACCCAGCGTCCTTCACCCTGTCTTCCCGTGTGGGCTGAGCTTGCAAATAATGCACTACCAAACAGCAAATTTGCTAATAACAAGATATTGCGTATACCTTCCATTTTGATGACGATTTGTCTTTAACGTTTTTATCTTCTGTATTTTGTTCCAGCACACGAGCAGTCGAGACAAGTTTCCAGTCTTCTCGGGTGCCAGACTACACAGCAAGAGTAAACCAGCAACTTTAGCCACAGCGAACGGCCTGCGCGAGCAACACTTGTGGTGGGCGGTGCCTCCTGTCTGCAGAGGCACCTGTCCGCGGAAGGCTCAAGCACGGATGTTGCGTGAGTGCAAGCAGGACGAACACTGGTGCCTTCACTCTATCAGGATCTTCTCACGTTGAATGTTCCTCGGGTTCCTGGTTTCGCAACCACACTAGTCCAATTCTCACATTTCCCTTCAGAGGTAGTTTTTGGGCATACTCATTCTCACGGGGAGGTGACTAAAAATGATCGAAGATGAGAGTTCATCCCCTCTTCTAGCTATAAAAGGTTATTTACAAAGCGACACATTTAAAACGTTCACAAAGTTTTCTATTCATAAATTCTGATTTTGGAGCAACTTTTACGTCATACTTGACTATGCAGCGTAAAGGGAAAGCGAAATAAGTAGGACGAGGAGAACGGGCCGCTTATATATGTATATATAAATGTATTGTATACATATATACATACATACATACACTATATATATGTAAATACATACACACATATAATTATGTGTGTGTGTGTATATATATATATATATATATATATATATATATATATATATATATATATATATATATATATATATTCATGAGAGAGAGAGAGAGAGAGAGAGGAAAGGGTAAATCCAGACAGATAAAACAAGATCCACCCAGAAACAAACAGATATTTCCCATGCCACAACTCGAACAAAGAATCCGCTCACTCATGGTTCCAAAAGAGCAGGTTTTATGCCGAGTTTAATCATGGTATTTGTAGACACTCTCTATATGATATATTATCCTCAAAGGAACAAGCGCCTGTTATGTGCTGTCTCTCCCGTATAACATGGGTTTGAGAGCCTTATCCTAACACTACATTTGGATCTGTTGAATGAAAAAAATACATTGTCGTTATTATTATTACTATTGTTACCATCTTCATTGTATCATTATCGTTATCATAATTGTTATTATCATATTCATTATTGATTCTAGTAGTAGTAGTAATGTTGTTATTAGTATTATGATTATCATATTCTTATCAAACAGAAATAAAGAAAATAAAAAGAAAGAGAAAATAGATAAAATATAAACGAATAAATTAATAGACAAACACAAATCCTAGGGAGAAAAAGTTGTTGGCTTCCACGGAAAAAAGTAGTATGCAATCTGCAGGCTGAGCCATTGCCACGCCCCTTCAGAAACTGATATTTGTCCGCGTGTGTGGTGTGTGTGTGTGTGGGGGGGGGGGGGTGTAAATGGCAAAACTGAAGTTACTCTGGTCCAGCATAATATTTTCTTTATGTTGAATACAGAGATTATATACTAACACCTCTCTCTGACAAATCTCTCTCTATATATACACATATAAATGTGTATATGTATACGAATATATATATGTGTGTGTATACATATATATACATATATATATATATATATATATATATATATATATATATATATATATATATATATATATATATATATTTATATATATGGAGTAGATTAAATTAATGTTAGTTTTTTTCTATTGCTAGCCCGACAAAAAATCAAGACATTCGCGTTTTACCATGCTTTTCTGCCACGATAAAACTTCCATGGTGATGTGTGGTCTCTGTTAATCCATTTATAGAACCCATATCAGGGGAAAAATAATGACCATTTAAAATCTTTCCCAAAATACCAGGACACAGGCGGTCATGGAATTTATCGTTATCAGTATCATTATCACCATAATTATCACTAGTTGTTATAACTATTATTAGTAGTAGTATTAGAACTACTACTACTACTACATTATCATTATTATTACTACTACTATTATCATTATTACGTTACTGTTATCATTATCCTCATTATTACTATTATCATTATCATTGTTGGTGTTATTACTATTACTATTATTATTATCTTCCTTATATCGTTATCAGTATTATCATAAATGTTGATATCATTATCATACACATTATTGTTAGTAGTAGTAGTAGTAGTACCGTTGTTATCATAATAATTATCAAATTATTATCATTATCGTCAGTATTATGTTCCTTATTGTTCAAAGTCACACGAGGAAATGATACGTGAATATCTGTCACCTTGCATTACTGATGAATAATAATAATGAAAATAATGGTGATAATAATAATGATAGTAGTAATAGCAATGGTAATAATAATGATAGTAGTAATAGCAATGGTAATAATAATGATAATAATAATAATAATAATAATAATAATAATAATAATAATGATAATAACAGTAATAGTAATACTAATGCTAATCCTAATAATAATAATAATAATAATAATAATAATAATGATGATAGTAATAATGATAATAACATTAATAATAATGTTAGTAATAATAATAATAACACTGGTAATAACAATATAAAAGGTAATAAATATAATAATAACAATAATAATAACAACTATGATAATATGATAATAATAATAATGATAATGATAATGATAATGATAATGATAATGATAATGATAATGATAATGATAATAATAATAATAAGGATAATATTAATAACAGTAATAATAATGATGATAGTAATAAAAATAATGAAAGTGGGCAAGATTATTAACGAAGTAATATGAGGTAAAAGAAATTAGTAATAAAGTAATAAAGCAGATAATAAGAGAAAACGAGGAAGTAAAGGAATGACGGGACGAAAAGCAGAATTGGAGAAAATGTGCAAAATCATATACAAAAAAAAAGAGAGAATGTATGGAAAAAAAATGGAAGAGCGAAGGAATACTAGGTTAGTGACTTCTGTTGTGAGAAAAAAAAAATCATTTCAGATTTTAACGAAAATGTTTTCTCTCTCTCTCTCTCTCTCTCTCTCTCTCTCTCTCTCTCTCTCTCTCTCTCTCTCTCTCTCTCTCTCTCTCTCTCTCTCTCTCTCTCTTTCTTCTCCTTCCTCTTTTATGAGTTATTTTAAATTTAGACGAAAACGCCGAGGGTGCTTGGGAAAAAAAATAATAAATCGACGGAAATATAGAAAAAAAATAGTAGCCAAGATAAAGGACTAGTGTGCATTATAACTGGTCTTTAAACAATAGATACCCATATCTACCTAATAAGATTAATTGTGATAAAGAATCCCGTAAGTAACTGATAAAAAGAGGAATGAGAGGACTAGAGAAAATCCAGACAACCATTTGAAATGTTGAGTAGATCAATTGCAAGAAGATCAGCTGTGCAATTTGTACAGCCCTAGCAACAATCCCGTTAGAATAATATAAACTTATTAACTAGTTCAGCTTTCTTACCAACCGTGTTTAATAATACACATTACACAGAGTGCAACGAAGAGGGAATTAAATAATAACAAGAAAAGAAGACGAGTGATAATATACCACGAATAAACAAGTAAGATCAAGTCACATGACTGAAGAAAATCGAAAGTGGAAGCTTAGAAATGAACAGTTCACCTTCACGAGGAGAGAAGGTTACCATTGGCATTATTACATTTATTTTTGTTATTATTATTATCATAATCATTGCTTTTATTATCATTATTATTGTTGTTGATATTATCTTCTCTATCGTAGTTTTTATTGTTACTATTATTATCATTATCATTATAGATATATATAAATATTTATATTAACCCATTCGCACCACGTGGCAAGAATAGATGTCATGCCCACTTTGATACACGTTTATTTATTGTATTTACACATGGATGGCTCCAAAAGTTCTTAATCACCAAATAGTTATCAAGAACTACCTATTTTCACCTATTTCATTGTCTAAAATATTCTTATGACAATTTAATAATCATAACATTAATAACAATTCTTTCTTTCTTTGTTGGATTTCTTGGCTATCAACCAGCGGCATGTGGCCAAGGTTATTAAGCTAATGGATCCTATTCATTCTATCAATCTATATAAGGTCATAAAGTTTTGTTTCCCTTAGAAAAGAGATTACTTTATGTATTATTTCATCGCCTGTTAAAAGGTTCGATATTGTGAGTGGTATGTTTTTCTTTCTGAAATATTTTTTTATGGTTTGTCTATAATTATTGCATCTACGGCAGGTTATTATGAGATGGGCTATTGTGAGGATGTCTGTGCAATGGGGGCACTGTAGAGGGAATTTGTTTTCTATATATGGAGTGAGGTGGGTTAGCCTTGTGGGGTTAACTCTCAGGCGCGCCAACACTACCTCCTGCCTTCTGTTTTGTTTCTGTTGTTGTTTTTTCTGTGTGCTGTGGCTAAAAGTTCTATTGCTGGCTTCATTGTGTCTATTTGTAGGTTGGTCCACTCACTTTGCCACAGGAGATGTATTTTTGCTTCCATAAGAGACAGAAAACACCTGAGATCTGTACGAACTATGGTAGTGTCCAGATCGCCAGTTGACCCGGCTAATTTGTCAGCCTGTTCATTGCCATGGATGCCAGAGACAAGGTGCATTTCATACACTTAGCCCTGAAGATCTCCGGCGTGGGGTTAGCTTTCCCGTCGGCGCGGCGGCGTGGATTTAGCATAAATTATATTCCTTGGCGTATTGGCGTAATGAAATGGAAAAATCTCGGAGCATGTTTTTTTTATCTTTACTGCTTTCTCAAGCTTTTAAGTTGAACGCAATGCACTTATACATAGTGAACTTAATGAATCGAAAAAAATAACTATTCTATCGTGGGTCGTCGATAGTGCAAAACCAATAGCTTTGTCAATAGCAAAAAGTTCAGCAATAAAAATCGATGTATGAACTTTAGTTCACGTTCAGTCAACCATACACCTGCACCCACATACCCGTCTTGGAGCCGTCGGTATGTATATAAAAAAAAATTGAGATGTTTAATAAGGATCTCTCTGAACCTCTGGCGTACCTCCACCTCCGGCGCCATGGAGGCTGATGGAAGCCAGGCTTCCAAAATAGAAAAGTTGGGGGTTTCCCATGGCGCTGTATTTGACTGAACCAGGGTATCGATGGTAGAGAGATCTATACCGACTTTCTCGACGAGCTCGTGGAGTCTCGTGACAAAGGGCCTAGTGCCTCCATTGCCATTAGGTTGG